GGGGGGGGGCAGTGTTACCTCTTCTCTCTGTCTCGTCGAACCCTGATGTTCAGAAAGGTAATAAAATCGGACCATCACCATCGTCGTCGTAGTAGCTCTCCTCCAGCGAGTCTCGTTTCGATAAGTTGCACTCATCAGTGCAATAAACCTATATGTTACTGTAGCGATGATCCTGTTATGCTGTGCATGACCACGCAGGACGTATAGCTACCCGTACCTTAGAGTGGTGGCGAGGGGGGCTGGGACTGGCTGCGGGGGAGGGAGGGGGAGGGGAGGGTGTCTGGCGCCGCCCTGCGCCTCAGTCACTGTCCCCAACCCTGCGTCCTAATTAGCCGGCTCGGCTCGACTCGGCTCGGCTCGACTCGGCTCGGCTCGGCTCGTCTCGGTGTCACACGCGGCGGTGTCACATGGCTGGCCTATCGCTCAAACTATCTCGTACAGAGTTTCTCACATAAATCGACGGCTTGCCAGTGAGCTGCGGCGGCAGGCGGGCAGGCAGGCGCACGCTGCTCCAGCCCCCGGCATGGGCGGCCAGGGGGAGAGTGAAAGAGGTGTGGGAGAGGGGAAGAGCGGGGGAATAGCGGATGCATCTAATCTCACAAAATCTGGATCAAAAAGAAAAAATTCCCTCTTTAGATTTTTGAGTACGAAGAAACTTGACATGTCCTTCTTGTGGCTGTACAGGAGACATGACGAGCTGACTCACTAGTATACTACTTGACTTGACTAACCACGAGGCCTCTTTGAAACAATATGGGCAAATATTTTCACACTTATGTACGAAACGTATTAATTTGCACATTTCATGGTGTTCAACTAAAATGCACTCATCGTACTGTGCAAACAATAAACATGAACTAAACGTGGGAATTTTTTTTCATTTTACCTTTGAACGCCAATTCTAGTTTAGTTCAAAACCATGAAGTGTTTCAAACTGCTTTGCGCACTTTCAACTGGCACACAATTTGGTGTCTAAATTTTTACATTTATTTTATCTGTGTAGTCATACCCCCCCCCCCTCCTTTCCGAACGAAGATTTCAAAAATCTATAATCGTGGATAAAGAGGAAAACAGGTGAGACAGCGGAAGTGCGAGCGGAAAGGAAAGGCGGTGTCGGCGGCGGCGGCGTACTGACGGGCCTCCACGCGGACGAAATATTGCGATAGCAGGACGAGCCGCGATAATGGAGAGGGAAAGGGAGGGGGGAGGGGCAGATACAAAACAGACGTACGCTTCAAGTTAGCCGCGCCGCCCCGCACTCGCATCAGCCAGCATCAGCCCAATCAACTAATGGGAGAGCGGCGGAGGGGCGCTGCGCGGCGGGGGTGGAGGGGGGGGGGGCACCTGGCAGACACGCCCTTCCCAGCATCGCAACCACGCCCCACCTCTCCCGCCCCGCCCCCGATCCCCGCGCTGGTTGAAGAAGAGATTTCTCGGTGCGGTAACTCCGGTTCAAGCCGGTTCAACCACTGCTGTGCATGTGTTCAACTTCTCTGTTGAACACTTCACACTCAGAGTGCACTCAACCGCAAAGGGAAGAAGTTAGAGGCCTGCAAAAAGCGCGCTGCTCAGCGAACTAAATGAGCACTTACAAGTGGTGTTTACCAGTTGAACACGTGATCTACCAGTGTTAGAGATTTTTGGAAGAGGATGGATGTGAATGTACTTCCCTTGGTCCGACAGAAAGATTTCCTTCCGAGACGAAGTTCGCCCCCTGCGGTGCTGCACCACCTCTGCCCCGCTGCCCCCGCTGCCCCCCGCCGCCGCCCCTCGACGCCCCCTTCCTCTCCACACGCCCCCCGGTTGCAGGTTGCAGGCGCAGCTCATCCACGACGCTCCCGGTCTGCTGGTCCATTTGTGCGACTAATCGGGCTGCCAGTCGCGTGGAGCGGGTCCAACAGTTCGCCACACCGCATCTGCAAACGTTCACGATATTCAGCCAAGTTATTTTTATTTAGTTTTTTTTCCGCTGCCCGGCGGAATGAGGCCGAGAAACTCTGCACCCAGAAAATGGTTTAGTCCAGAGAACCGATGAAATAATAATGTTTCGATTTCGACGTCGAATCATTCGAAATCTCATTTTTGGCTGCAACCCACAACCCCACCAAGACGTTAGGGCACTCTCGTCCCCCAGCACACATGCATGCAGGCGTGCGGGCAGGCTTGCCTACCAAAGCGCCTTACGGCCCCGTGCGGGTATGCAACCCGTCCGTCCGCACGCCTGCATCCGGTACAGTGTAACCAGAACAAAGTAGGCTTACAACACCACCCTAATAACGATATGTAAAGCAGAGTTGCAGGGTGGTGGCTCAAGGCACCCACTTCAGACTTTTGGAAGTTGAAAGGATGAGTCATGGATCATATCACAATTCGTTGCGAAAATTGAACGGAAGGCCGTCCCTGCGGGGCTGCACGGTGCGGGGGTACTATACTGCGTTCTGGCTGGCGCAGGGGGTGCCTGAGGTTGCGGCGCTCCTTCAGAATGCAATTTGGACATATATTTCAACTTCAATGAGGGTTATAACGTTTACAGTGATAATACTTAAATCCGGCGTGTATCAAAGTACTCCGCTACACTACACTACACCCACCCCACGCTCTCAAAATTTGTGAACTGGGCACAGATCGCAGATATACAGAACAAATACTTTGTTCAAACGGAGGCAGCATGTTCCTGAAGCAGCTTCCCCCACCCCTTGGTCTGGCAGCGATGATGCGCCTTGGTGGTTTTGAAATCAGTCTCGTAAATACCCTTTCCTTCAGGGAAGCAATCCATAGCGCGGCGTGTCGGTAAGGGGGGGGGGGCGCTCCGCGCACGTGTGCCGGGGGCGGAGGCCTTCGCCAGGGCGCGTGGCGGGGCGGGGTGGGGCGGGGAGGGGAGGGGCAGGCGGAGAAAAGAGCAAAGATCCCAAATTTGAGAGGAAGTTTTTACGAGCCTCGGGCCGTTACTGCTCCTGCCCCCTCTCTCTCTCTCCGCGCGCCTCCCTCTCTAAACAGGATGCCACGGCATCAGAAACATTTTCTTCGTCAGTTTTAGTTTGTAATTGCAACCGGGCACCCCCTGGCGCGCGCCCGTTCAGGCAGTATGGGGGGAGGGGGGGGGGGGGCGGTGAACCGTTCTTTCTTCTGTGAGAGCTAGCGAGGAGTAGCTCATTATGCATATTTCGGACGACTCTCCCGTTAGTTGTCTTAAGACTTGAGAGTAGTACCAGGCCACGATGTGAGGGGGTGCATACGTCACAGGCACCCGTAGGACCCATACTGAGACCCCACACGACCGCTGCACTTGGCGGCCGCCCGCCGCCGCCGCCCCGCCGCCCTGCCCGGCCCTGCCACATCCCGCTTCCGTCTAAGATCTTACTTTGTAGTCAAGTGGCCAGATGGCCCGACGGCCGACGGCCCAGCGCCTCTCAGGCGGCCGTCGGGACCGCGTCGGGCACTCACTGACCAGTCCTTCCCACGGCCCCGGCCGCGTCCGAGAGGCTGTGTCCGAGGCTGGCGTTCGAACTAACTACTGCAAGAAGTTTGTGGGAGCACTGACATTCCACCATGGGACGCATATTATGAGTGAAAATGAACTCGTCTCTCGACTCCCCTCCGTGCCACACACTCGCGTGGCAGCGGAGGAACTTGTTTGTGCTATCAGCCACCGGCTTCCCTCACCCCTCCCTTCCTATATCCTTTCCTCCCCTCCCCTGACCTCCCCCTCCCAGCCCACCCTTCCCCTGCACCCTCGACGACCCCCGAGCTATTACGCTACCGAGCAGCTACTCCTAATTCACTTAGTGGCTTTATGACGCCTCTCTTTCTCTTTCTTTCTATCCTCCTCTCTCTCTCTCTTCCCACGATAACAAGTGCACAGACCTGGTCCCTATCTCCGTTCAATTACGGACCACACAGTTTTCCACCACCCCGGGTCACACGGTCTCACCTCCCAAGGACCTCCGCGCAGGCGGCAGGGCCTTCACGACCGTGCTCTCGAAAAGACGTCAGTTTCAGCTTTCAGAGGAGAGTGTTGAACAGAATACGCTGTTTTACACTTGTCAGCACGAGTCAGACTATAGGAGATCGATGTTCGAGTGCTGTAATACACACACATCGTAGAATCCTTTGCGAGCGAGTGTAGCTGCTTTGTAATTGCCAACCACACTGTTAAATTTTTGCTTATCAATGCTTTGCAAATGCAAATTGCAAAGGATTTTGACGCTTTGTAGACTACAAAGCATTTCATCTAATAAAATTACAAGTATGAAAAATCGACTACAGAATGCAGCGCGCGTCCGCTGCCTCATAATGTTCCGCTTGTTGCGAAAGTCGAGGTGGTCTGGCTCTGGCGCGAGCTGATGATGAGGGGCGGATGAGCTGCAGCAGGGATGGTTGGCGGGGCGTGATGTGAGACTGACAAGGAAACCGTTTTACGGAAGAAGACGCAGGCGAGCTCCTGTCCGTGGCGGGTGGGCGCGCTGATAATGGACTTGTAGGGGGTAGCATCCCCCCCCCCCCCGGCCGCGCCTCGTCGAAACGTTTATGGTAATGGTAATTGGACTTGCACTGCGGTCTGCTCACACTGAAAATGCTAGGGTCCTCACTGCAATTGGGCGAGGTCGGGGAAATCTGACTCTTCCAGAGTAGGAGTTCGGTGCATATGACTCAAATAGGGTGAGCCTTGAAGTCATCGATCTGATTATGCGAGGCAAAATTGTTTTGCCCCGTTGGAGAGAATGGGTATGCTAGCCCGACCCTGGAGTTGCCTATTCGCTCGGGACCCGCAAGGCGCTGTGGTAAAATTTGAAACCCGCGCGACTGCAAGCAGGATTCGCCCATACGGGGCAAAAGCAAAACGGCAACCCTGTATTACGA